TAATAATAATAATGATGATAATAATAATAATAGTTTTATTATTATAATTATTATCGTTATTATTATTATGATGATGATGATGATAATAACAACAACAACAATAATAATAATAATAACAATGATAATAATAATTAGTATTATGATGATAATAATAACAATAATAATAATTATAATAATAATTATTATGATGATGATAATAATAATAATAATAATTATTATTATTATAACAATAATAGTACTACTACTACTACTATTACTAATAATAATAATAATAAAAATGAATATTAATATTCTTAAAGAATATTTCTTCAAGAAAGCTTTGTATATTGGGTGTTGCATTATTACTCATAAACCTTTTGAAAATGTGCAGAGAGAAAAATATAAGGCAGCCTCAGGTAAATTTATTTATTTAAAATAAAATAAAATAAAATAAATATTACTTTTAAATAATAATAATAATAATGATATTAATGTATTACCTAATTTATTACATTTAAATATATAATAGTTAAAAATAAATACAAATAAAATATTGTAATATATAAAAGCATTTACCATAAATTTGAACGTAAGAATTTATTAATTTAAATAAAATTTGTATTTAAATTAATTTGAACTTTAGAGAGTAAGGAAATAAATAAATAAATAATTGTTCAATATTGTATTTCCCGTATTGTGTGAATTCAGGTAAATTGTGACACTTTTTTTCTTGGAAAAATATCCCAGTTAACCTGATTCTAGATTAACCCCTATAATATTCTTATATAAATGAAGAAAAATATTAATAAATTAATAAAAATATTAAACAGGTCTACTGAAGTATAGGGCCTATAGAATTATATCATATTGATTAACTTCAGCGGGGTTAATCGATATATATCCGCAAATTGTTAATGATGTTAAGTTTACAAATCACTTTGAAAAACTTGGAGCCATTTCCTAAATATATTTCACAAACGCCCGATGTCCTAATCCTCGCGAGATTGCGCGAGGTTTAGTTAGTGTGTGACGTCACAGCTGTCACTGTGGCAGGCGGCTCGTCTGTGTTGTGTTCGCTCTCGACTCATCAGCTTCTCCAGCCGGTTATATCTCCGTTCAAACGGCAGTAACGAAACACACATCGCATAAAGTATCAGATTAAACTGCTATACCCAGCGTGCTGCAATGGCCGACCCGAAGTATGCAAACCTGCCGGGCATCGTAAGTGATCCATTCAGTCCTTAAACAACAATAACAGTGCGGTATATTAGCATTAGCATTAGCCGCGGCTAACGGTCTGAGGTGATTCAAAGCGAAACATTCATATAAATTAATATCTATAGACTAATCAAGTGTACTGAGTAAATATAAATTGTACAAGGGGTTGAAAAGTAATTGGGCTATTGAGATGTAGTATTATTTCAGTTTCTTGAGAGGAGTGTTAGCTCATGTTTGTAACTGACGCTCGTCAAACATACACACACAACTTATAAATATTGCCTAAATGACTATTTTCCCGCTTAGTTACTTGTATGCTGTGTAAAGGGGCTGTTGCACACCTTTATTTTGCAGGCAGGATTGTAAGAAATAGATGTTTGTGAAGGGCGTTGGCCAGTGGTGTAATATAATATCAGTATTTTAATATGTCATGTTATTATTGCAGGCGTTTATTTGACTTGTGTCTTATGTCAGTCTGTGTTGTTTACATTACACTTTTGCTCAATCAGTATGGATTTTTAATTTTGGTTTTTACATGTAGTCCCCCTGATCTTTACATTTACATGCATAAATATTTTTATTCTAGCAATGAATTTTAGTCTGTGTTTGTCTATTTTTCGGGTGTGTTAGACACACACACACACACACACACACACACACACACACACAGTCAGGCATTATAAATCATTTCTTTACTGTTTGGCAGGTAAAGTTGGAGGCTAAACTCGACTAGACTAAAGATTAACAATGTACCATCAAGAATTCAGAGTTTCCCCACTTGTAAATATTGTTTTATGTTCTGAGTGGTTGCTGGGGTGTTCTGCTTGGTTGCTGTGGAGTTGCTGGGGTGTTCTGACTTGGTTGCTATGGAGTTGCTAGGTTGTTCTGCCTGGTTGCTATGGAGTTGCTACATTATGTATCCTGTTCGGTGTAAAAAGAGTCCCCCCTCACTGCAACTTGAGGATCTTCTAGAATTCTCGATTCCCACTTGTAAATATTGTTCTGTGTTCTGCGTGGTTGCTATGGGGTTGTTAGGGTGTTCTGAATAGCTGCTAGGGTGTTTTAAGTGGTTGCTATGGTGTTCTGCGTGGTTGCTATGGAGGTGTTTTTTTCTCCTTTCTGACATGAGTGCAATGCATCAATGCAAACCTCAATGCAACTTGCATATCTTCTAGAATTCTGAGCTTCCTACTTGTAATTATTGTTTTGTATTCTGCTTGGTTGCTATGGAGTTGCTAGGGTGTTCTGCGTGGTTGCTATGGACTTGCTACATTATGTATCCTGTTTGGCGTAAAAAGAGTCCCCCCTCACTGCAACTTGAGGATCTTCTAGAATTCTCGATTCCCACTTGTAAATATTGTTCTGTGTTCTGAGTGGCTGCTATGGGGTTGCTAGGGTGTTTTAAGTGGTTGCTATGGTGTTCTGCGTGGTTGCTATGGAGTTGTTTTTTTCTCCTTTCTGACATGAGTGCAATGCATCAATGCAACTTGCATATCTTCTAGAATTCTGAGCTTCCTACTTGTAATTATTGTTTTGTGTTCTGAGTGGTTTCTATGGAGTTGCTATGGTGTTCTCATTGGTTGCTAGGTGTTTTCTCCGGTCTAGATTGAAAATAGTTCCCCCTCTACTGCACCTTTAAGTACCTTCTAGAGTTGAGTTTGCCACTTGTAAATATTCTGTTTTCTGAGTATATATATATACATTTTTCTGTGAGTCTTAAGAAGGGCTTAAATGAGAGCAGAAAATCTTACATTCATAAAGTCATGGCATTAAATGTTGCATGCGCTGTAAAAAATGAATATCTTTCTCAGTGTTTTTGTTTTCAAATGCAAATATCCAAACATCCTTAAATCAAGATACATTTACTTAAGAAACAAATGTAAATTCTTGAAAAATGTAACAAAATGAAGTGAGTTTATGCTTAAAACGAGAACAAATATCTGTCATTTGGGAATGAAAACTTTTTGCCCTTTGCGTTAAGTTGATTTTTCATTGCCATTGGCAGATATTTGTTATTTTCTCACTTCATTTTAACCAGTTTTCTTATTTTAGGTCATTTGCTTAAGTAAATGTATCTTGATTTAAGAATCTTTAGACATTTAAACTGGAAAACAAGACAAAAATACTGATAAAGAGCAACACTTTTTGCAGTGTGATGAGAAGGTACAATTATAAATGTATAAATATGTATCTGTTTTCTCTTGAGCTTTTATGTCTGTTGTGTTTTTGTTCTCACATTTTATTGACATGACATAATATAATTGAAATGACATCATTTCCTCCCAGGCCTCCAATGAGCCTGATGTCTATGAGACGAGTGATCTGCCCGAGGATGATCAGGCGCAGTTTGAGTCGGTGAGTACCTGTGTGTGTGTGACTCATATTTGAGCTAATTATACTTTCCCTCCTCATTCACTAACCCACCATCACTGTCTGACCCACTCCGGATGCTAGTTTGTGCAAGTAAGACGTCATTGTTTTCTAACGCAGTAACTGCATGGGTTGAAATCTTCCTGCCTTTCGAATGTTTTCTAATCAGGGACAGTCGTACGATTACCATTGGGGTGTTTTTTTGATTTATTTGAACTAGAGATGTAACGGTATGAAAGTTTCTTATC